AGCTCCTCGGCCTTCTCCACGTCCCACTCCTCCACAGCCTGGTCTATCCTCTTCTCAAGGCCTGACTTTTCAACCTTTTTCTTTTTAACAGGGGGTTCAAATCTATCATTGGCTCCAAAGTACTGAGTAAGCTCCTTCCATTGGGTCTCACTCATGGACTGCTGACTCTGAGACTCTTTTTCATTCGGCAGTTTATCTTTTTTGGAGCGTTTTCTCTTTCTCCTTCTGAATCTTGAGGCTGAAGTTTTCTGTTCAGAATGTTTTTTATGCAGTTCTTGAAATTTGTTCCACATATTTAAGGGAATTCCAGAAGGGCACTCTTCATATGCATTGGTTTTGGTCTCTGTTCCAGTTTTTGGTTCATCTTCTGGGAAACCTGAGACTTCTGTTTCTCTAGTGGTCCCATCCTCTTTGTCTTCCTGTAAGTTATGATCACTGTTCTGTAGTGTGGGCTCCTCTTCAGAATCCAACTCAGTATCACTCTCCTTTAGACCGGGAGGCAGCAGTCCGCTCCACATCTTTTCTTCGACCAGGAAGCGGACTCCCGGCGTCCATTTTAAGACCGGGAGTTTAGTTCTAAAAATGCTCCTAAAATTAGTGCCTTATGTTATTGGGTTTAATAATGTAATACAGTCGAGTCCCATGAGTGATATCAGGGGGCCGTGTGCACAAATTCATGACATCGCCAGTGTGGGGCACTGCTAGAAGATCCTGTGGGCTCGGACAAGTGCAGAAATTTGGACGGTACAGACAACATACTCATGAAGGCAACACAAAGAATGTGAAGTGGGGTTATTTGGGCAATGCAGGTTTACAGTTCAGAGTTTCCTTGGCATCTGCCTGAGTCATTTCATTAAGGACTCGACTCTAGGCTTTTGTGGTTTGGTTTGGTTTTGTTGAGACAGGTCTCCCTATACAGTTCAGGCTGGCCTTGAACTCACTATGTAGCTCAAATTGGGCTTGAATTTAGGGCAGTCCTCCTGCCTCAGCCTCCTTTGTGCTTTTCTGGAACAGTGTTTTTCAAACTGCAGGAGTAACTGAAGTCAATTCAGTTGTTCATGACCAGTGTAAAGCAAGAGAGACAGATAATTTAATTAAGAATTGAATTTAAAATTTCTTATAGTGAATAATAGTGAAAAAAAAAAGCTTAAAGCTTGAAGTTATCCATTCTAAAAGATGGAATATAGCCCAAAGTGGTGGCACATGCCTATCTATAATCCTAGCTGTAGTGATTCTCCTGTTTTCGGCCTCCCAAGTGCTGGGATTACAGGTGTGTGCCACCACGCCCAGTCTCAATCACCCTCTCAGCATGCCCTGGGGGCAGGGCCAGCATCAGGCCCAGGGATCAAACCCCTGGCCCCTGCATCTGCCTAAGCAGCACTTTAATCTACTGAGCTATTTGACCAGCTGTTTATAATCTTAGCACTTTGAGAGGCTGAGGCATTTTATTGACTTAGAGAAACCCTTACTCAAAGTAAAAAGGTCTAGAGTTCAACCTGCAGTACCAGATAAACAACAAACAAATAAAACAACCACTAAAGGAATAGTTCTCGTCAACTTGAACCTGGCACATCTTGGCTGCCAATCCTTAGATGTATGTATGTATGTATGTATGTATTTATTTATTTATTTATTTTTTGCGGAACTGGGGATTGAACTCAGGCCCTTGCGCTTGCCAGGGAAGCGCTTATTCCACTGAGCCATCTCCCTGGCCCCATTTTATTTTATTTTGATTCTTGGAAATTTTATTTTTTGTATTGTGTACAAGGCGTCCAGGGTCTCACTGCGTAGATCGGACTCGTGGTGATCCTCCTGTTTACAGCCTCCCAACTGCTGAGATTATAGGCACACAGCACCAAGCCCAATCTCTATTGCAGTCTCAGTGCGCCCTGGGGGCAGGCCTGGGGATCCAATGATCTCTGGAAATTTAGAGGTGTTTGTTTTCAAGCAACTAAACTGCTAGCCTCTAGTATGCCTTGTTCTTAAAAAAAAAAAAAAAGAAAAGAAAAGAAATTAAGATATGTGTATCTTCCCCCAGAGCCTCAATTTAAATTGCATTTAACCTTTCTACGTACCCTTTGGCTCAGGCCACTAGACTCATGAGGAACAATACATAGCTTCATGTATGGGAAAGAGCACAAGTGCCTAAAGTGGCAAAGTGTGAATTGAAGAATGTAAACATGACCACTTCTTGATGTGGAAAATCATCACCAAGGACTACATTAGATCAGGCCTCAAGACTCACCCGTGAGAACCTGGAACTTTTAAGAAAAAGGACACAGCTTAGTATCTGGTCCAGTTAGCCCACACATAGCTTGAGAGTGGCTTGATGTTTTAACTCATACGTTACTGGGGCCTTGTATTTTTTTTTTTAATTTTATTTTTAAAAGTGACTACAAAATAGTATTAAAACAAAAATTACAAATGATACAGAATTTCACTAAACAAAATAATATGAAGTTCACAGTATTTGTTGTATTGCATAGTGTTGTCTTCAGATTAGTTGTTACCAGATATATGCATGCAAAATTGGAAGAGGAAAAAGAAAAAGAAATACATAGGAAATTAGAGAAAAAGGTCAAAGAATTCAAAAAAGACAAAACAAATTAAACATTAACTGTTCCTTTCCATAGATCAGCAGAAATCCACAGTACAGTTGTCCAAACCATGCTGCTTACATACGTAGATATATCTCTTTCCCTTACTATCTGTCCTGTCATTCTCCCCAACTCAGTGATTCCTTCCTTTTGAACAGGTTCATTCCCTTTATCCAGTATCTATTGTATCTTCAAATTTTATTTTCTCTTTGAGGTGCTCACACACATGTGATGTTTCGTTGCCTTGTATTTTGCCCCTTCACCCTGCTTTTTTAATCAAGGAACAACCTCAAACTATTTAAGCTTCCAGGACTACTAACATGTTAATGGGTGTTTTTCACCATTGCTTAAGACATGGCTGTATGTGCCTCATTTTGTCAGGTAGTGGAGGAGTTGGTGTGGCTGTATCAGCGAAATTATGAATGTGATGAAATATGTCTTTTTCTTGGCGGTCTTGGGTAGAATCTAGTGCCTCCTCACTGAGCTATAATTTGTGTCCCCCCACAACTCCTTTCCTTTTTTTTTTTTTTAATTTTGATATAGGGTCGCACTATGTCACTAAGTTGTACAGGCTTATCTTTTTATTTTTT